TATTCAATGGTGGAGCGACTGATAAGACTGGACTCAGGTGTCCATTGTGGTTTGTCCTTTATGAATTTGGTATGGGGCATGTGCACAGTCTGGTCAAGCACAGAGACATCATGTAACTCAGGCTAATATTTAAACACTCCAGAACATGTATACCTAGTGAAGGGAAGCCTGATCTTTGCCAGGGTGATAAGATCTCTGCTGCCAGAATTAAATATAACTTGTTTCACTTTAATGTCAGGTGAACCTAAGCCATTGCTGTGATTTTGCAGCGATTTTATAACGTTTATGCACAAACTGTGAGTGAATTAGGATTAATTCCTCAGGAGATCAAGCTGTAACTGTAGATATTAAATAGTCTATAAACCATGGAGGAATGTTAGGGCTGTGTTTGCCTTTGTAATTATACTGTTTGCTAACTTCAAATCTAAACTCACACACTGTGAAATATCTATGATTTCTTTTATTTGGCCCCAGGCTGCTGCAACGAGGTATAAGCAACCTTGGAAAATGCTGTGTCAGTAATGTTCTGCTTGCCTGAGCGTGGTGGGAGTTTTGTGCAAATACCTACCAAAAGAACATATTATCCTGAGTTCACTTTTTATACTGTTATGCTGAAGAAGACTTTTCAGTCGCACCGTGCTACTGAATTCTGGACAGTTCCTTTGAGGTCACGTATCCTAAAACTGCCATGCATTGTTTAGTTCTATACTTACTGATTCTATCGTCCATTTTACTCCTTTTATTTAATTTTGTTTATTTATTTAGTTTTTGTTTTTGTTTTAAACCCAAATGTTGATCTCTTGCTACCATACTGTGTGAACTACAAATAAGTCAAACTATAATTAGATTCTAAAACATTGATGTTCAGGTTGTTAGGGTTATGGAAAAACATTACATGTCAGAAAAGAAACCTTAATTAATCAGGTTAAATGTCAATGACACACCACATACCAATTGTAACTGAACAATATGATGCTTTAATATCATCATCACTTTTTGTATTCATAGTATTTTAGATCACACAGTATTGTCATATATGCCCAGCATTCGCACAAACATACTCTAATTGTATAATGTGTGAGGATCTATATATATAAATATAAATATCACATATGTAGAGAAATATTTTTTTCTAACTTCCCAAATGTCTGTGATCTGCTATTTTCATGATGCTCATGTAGCCTATCTTGTTTGGATGAGCATAATAAAACTCACAAGAATCTGCAAAAAAAAAAAAAAAATGCAAAAAAAAAAATGTTAAGTGCCAAAATGATTTGTGTATTTAACACTACCTCCTGTCAATGATATACAACATCCCCAAGGAAAGGGTTAATGGCCCCTGCCTGTTTATTAAATGGCATTTTTTCCCTGTTCACTAGAAGATTTACCCACGGATATGGGAGTGTGGTGTCTGTATAGATTGCTACTATTTGTATCATATCCAATAGAAAATGCTTTTTTAGTGTCTGCTACTGGGATCATCTAAATTAGAAAAAAAAGAAATCTAACCCTTAATTGATTTTGGTACATGACAGATGTCCCTTGTGTTTCACAATTTTGTAGAGAACAATGGCCATTTTTTTTTCTTCGTTACAAAACATCTATACAATGAGAAGTCAATTTGTATTCAGAAGGGACATTGCTAATATGCTAGGTGACATTTACTACACGTGCTGAATGGCTGCACTTATTGTTGCATCCTATATAACATGGAAAAAGAAGTTAAATATATTTTACAGATACATATCTTACTTCTACAGTGTGGATCCAACACAAGACTTCTCAATGCACAATTTTTGAGATTACCTAAATAAAGCGTGTATAGTGTGTGACCCAATTAGATAACCTTTGCTTCCATTCTATCTGGTCTAACCTCATTATCTATAGCTGAACTTTCTAGGTATCCAAATCCCCACGAGATCCCCCTCTCTGAATTATTCGATGGGATCATTTTGGAAGTGGATTTTAATCAGTAGCAGTCAACATCTGATGGGGTTAATTCAGTACATTAACCTCTGAGCTGCTGGAGTGTGTTAATATATACTGATGGGACCTGATCTTCCTGTAAATGTTTGAGCTGTTCTTTCGAGTTAATTTTTTTTTTTAAATTAGATAAACCACACGTATATTCCTGCTGTGCTGTGATTTTAATGCTTTTTTTTTTCTCCTACTAAAAAAAAACCCAAAATACTTCCAGCCTTTATTGCTAGCTAAATTGCTAAATCTCATCACTAAGGAAAGAAACTAACACAAGAGTTTTATCCCACCTTAACCTTGCACACAATCCTTTAACAAATTAATTAATCCTAATGAATTAACACTTCATTCATTTAAACGCGCTACAGTTCATGAATTAAATTTTCATGCAGTGATTAAGGGCTGCTAAAATATGCATGATTTCGTTAAAATTTTATAATAAATCAGGGCAATGTGTTACATGACAAGGCAACATTTTTTTTTATTATTATTCCAAGCCCCTCTGTTCGTGTCTTGGCATATGTAAAATCAAGGGGTTTCTTAATGTCAAAGGATGCACTGCTGATGGGTACCATTTACATGGTTATATCCTTATGATTAAACTACAGACTGCAGATATATGAGAACTACATTGCTCAGATGAGTCACTTACTGGATTGACAATAGAGATGGGTTTTATCCAGAATTTACAGGGTATATATTTGGTTATAGTTTAACTACTTCATTAGATTGTATCAGGAATTAAAATATAAACCACTGGCCAATAATTCCTTAAACATGCACTCGACTACACACTAACATACTCTTTAAAAAGCTGTCTACTGCTTCCTCCTTAAAGGAATAATCACTGAGCTTCTAGGGACCCAAATCACAATCACAGGCTTCAATTTTTAATATGACAACACTCTACACTTTGGCTGAAGAGTCTGTTATTGCAGCATGTACATGAGTAATTAGCAGAGCTTTGCTGATGTCAGGAAAGTCCCCAATTTGGACATGGAAAGCCTATTTGTGCATTCACCCATAGGGCTACTTTGGGGCTAGGTGTGAGGGGTATGTACTATTCCATGAAATACATGGGGAAAGTTTAATACAAAGTTTTCTATAGCACTTCACACAATCAATGTGTATAACTATTTCCAGTAAAATGTGTTAACGCATGTTTAGCACTTGAGTCTTTTATGGAGTATTTAGATATAATTCAGGACACTGATTTAAATACAGAGAGGGATGCATTTGTTCATGAATCGAATAATGAGGTTACATAAATTGAAAAATTGGCTGGAACATTCCGTTTTGTGTCTATGAATTTCTATTTAATATATTTAAATGTTTCCCTTATAATGAATTGTCTGATGGAGTGAAGGCTGAGGATATGCATGCCTACCTTCAGTACAAGGCCACACATGGCACACAGACCGTTCCTTATCCTGGCTGAGAAATCAGTTATCTCTGAGTCCCATACATATTTTATTCCCTTTGAAATTACATTTTATTCGGCTCAGTGTCAGACTGCTGAATTGTAGGACCATGACATGTGGGAAATGGACTGTTTTCCCAGGTCGATTCTCAGCAAATTCAAGTCGATCCTGGTTTATACAGATCTATTCAAATATTCAAGTGTTTTGAATTCCTGATGTTTATTTACTAAACAGTGAAATGAAATACTAGTGAGCGTCATTAATGATAATTTGACTCAGCTATGTTCCCATTTTACTGTAACTTCGAATTTGCTAATTAGTATCTATTATCTATCTATCATCTATCTATCTATCTATCTATCCATCCATCCATCATAATGTATATGACGTGAAATCTTATACAGTACATTCTATAAATATGCAACTTGGGCATTTATAGACAGACATCAAATTAACAGAATGTCCAAAATGTTCAAATTCTCCCTGTTATTAAATTCAGAAGGATGTATAGAAATATATTAATAACAATAAACATCCTAGACAAAAGTTAATATGATGTCTGATGTTGTCTAGGAATTACTTAGCTTCTAGTCAATTCCCTGCTGACTTGGGATTTCATATATTCATCCCCGGAGATGCCACAAGGAGTGGTACCCAGTGCCCTCCCCTCACTATGACAGGCAGTGCCTGCACTGAAAGCATCTCTGTGTCTGTGGACACACAGTGCATGGGGAGCTGTGGGATGATAGATTATTATTATTATTAGCTCAGGTCTCCACAGTCCAGACACTCAGCTCACATACACCACTGCTTACTCGCTGCTTTTTTTTCTGGGTCACTGTATTGGGAGATAATTCATTAAAATGCTAATTGAGATTGTCATTCCAGATATGTTTATCGGTGTGCGAAGTAAATGGACACTAATGTAAATGTGCATCAGAATAAGGCACTCTCCCAGTCAGTCCCCCAGCCTTGCTGTGTGAGAGGAAGCATGGATGTTAGCTTTAAACTGGGCAACCTTACCATTAACCCATTCTGAATTTACTGAACGGGTTAAACAAGACATTCTGTTTCTGTATGAAAACAGCTCCTCCCTTCACTTAGCAGCTAACAAATCCCTTACATTAACAACACGGATTTGTAATATTAATTCTATATCTATCTCTTGTTATTGTCATGGGCGCATACATTGCTTGGTATATATGTGTATAAATATAGGTACATAGATGCCGTTTTCGATTTCGATTTGGTAAATATATATATATTGTTTGTGTGTGTGTGTTTATATATAAATATTGTGTGTGTGTGTGTGTATGTATACTCAGTAGAAGATAGATCTATGAATGTGTGCAGATATGTGTATTATTATATGGTTACATTGGGTATAATTATGTGGGTACATTGAGTATAATGTGTGTACAAATTTACATACATGTATAAGTATAAGTATGTGAGCCTTGCTATGTGTGCCCTGTATAATGGCATTGATGCTGAGGATGTGTAGGGTAGCGCATGCCTAGTGGCCATCTCCAGGTGTTGCACCTGCTCTGCCCTAGTGTGTGCTGGTCACTATAAGAGCAGCCTCCAGTCCCAGCACCGCCCAGACTGCCAATTGAGCAGTAAATGTAACAAACCCCAGACAGCTGATGTCTGTCAAGCCTGGAGCCTGGAATCTCGCGATACGAGGAGCCGGTTGGAGCTGCGAGATCTGGGGCTCAGGTGTAAGAAAGCATCTCATCCCAGCAATAGGATAGAGCCAAACAGATAAGTGAGACCGAGAGGCTGGAGGGAGGCACACTGTGCGGCCATCACAAGCTTTAACAGCAGCAGCTGCAGCAGCAGCAGCAGCAGCACACAGAGAACAGGACCTGCAGCCTCCCCATCACCAGTACCAGGGCCACTTTATTCCTCTCACTTCAAGGAGTGCTTCTGGATTCCATGCAATTCTTTCAAGATGATGTCCATGAACAGCAAGCAGCCTCACTTTGCCATGCACCCGAGCTTACCTGAGCACAAATACACCTCCCTGCACTCCAGTTCGGAAGCAATAAGGAGAGCATGCCTGCCAACTCCACCGGTAAGACCTCACATGATGGGGATTCGATTCGGTTCATTTTGTATTAGACATATTGGAAGTTGCTTCCACTTTCCCCTTGTTTTCTGACTTTCCCTGACCTTTCCCCTTTTCCTGTTCGTGTCACATCGCCTATGTATAAATATATATATTTCTGTTTGTGTATTAATAAACCTATACTGGAAGGCACATGTGGAAAAAACACCCTTAATGATTTTTATTTATTCTTTTGCTGTAGTCAGCAGACCTCATGTGAGCCTCTTCCCCCCCCCCCGCCCCCCATACCTCACAGGCTAATGTCTCCAGCTCCATACTCTTTCTATGGTTTTCTTTTGGGGTGGGTTTTGTATTTGTTTTTAGATTCGGCCTAAACAATAAAAACATTTCCCCCAGCTTTTTACTACCGCCGAACTCCATGTGAGAGCCAGCACAAGCAGCCCGTGTATCCGCTTTTGTGTAATGTGACATTGTTTGTACTTTTTCCGGTGATATTGATACAATGTCTCCAACGTTCTATCCTCTGGAACGCTTCCATTCTAACCCCCTGTCTCTTATCCCTTCCATCCGGCAGCTGCAGAGCAACATCTTCGCCAGCCTGGACGAGACCCTCCTGGCCAGGGCAGAAGCTCTAGCCGCGGTGGATATGGCCGTGTCCCAGGGCAAGAGTCATCCTTTCAAGCCAGATGCCACCTACCACACGATGAGCAGCGTGCAATGCTCTTCCAACTCTACCGTGCCACTAGCTCACCACCATCATCACCATCACCACCATCACCACCAGGGTCTGGAAGCCGGGGACCTCTTGGATCATGTCTCGTCCCCGTCTCTGGCGCTCATGAGCAGCACAGGACATGATGGAGTCGGGGGTGGTGGAGGCAGTGGAGGGGGAGGCGGTGGCGGAGGTGGTGGAGGAGGCTTGATCTCCACCTCAGCCCATCCACATAGCCACATGCATGGCCTGAGCCACCTCTCCCACCAGGCGGCCATGAACATGACCTCTGCTCTTCAGCACCCTGGCTTAGTTGCTCACCATGGACCCGGGGGGCAGGTGGGCTCAGCGGTGGGGGCAGCAGGCTTAGCCTCAATATGCGACTCGGAAACCGACCCCCGGGAGCTGGAAGCCTTTGCTGAGAGGTTCAAGCAGAGAAGGATCAAACTCGGGGTGACTCAGGCGGACGTAGGGTCGGCCTTGGCCAACCTAAAGATTCCTGGGGTGGGTTCCCTCAGCCAAAGCACTATATGCAGATTTGAATCCCTCACCCTGTCCCACAACAACATGATAGCCCTCAAGCCCATCTTACAAGCGTGGTTGGAGGAGGCAGAGGGGGCCCAGAGGGAAAAAATGAACAAACCAGAACTATTCAATGGGGGGGAAAAGAAGCGCAAGAGGACTTCAATTGCTGCTCCAGAGAAGAGGTCCCTGGAAGCTTATTTCGCTGTCCAGCCCAGACCTTCCTCAGAGAAGATAGCGGCCATAGCTGAGAAACTGGACCTCAAAAAGAACGTAGTGCGAGTGTGGTTCTGTAACCAGAGACAGAAACAGAAAAGAATGAAATTTTCTGCAAATTACTAGCCCCCAATGTCACCCCTACCGTAATGTTACAATGTATTTATTTATGTATTTATTTATTCCTTGATTTATTTTTTTCTGTTACTTTGTCTGTCTGTTGGAAGGAGATGACTCTAGTTAAACTTTAGTTGATCTCCATTAGAGTGGAAAATTAAAACCTAAAATATTATTATTATTAATGATAATTTTAAAAAAATTCTAAAATAATATATTTATTGCCGGGACCAATGGACAACATTGAAATGGCTGACTACAAAGTAAATTAAATTAAAAAAATATAGAGAGAAAAAAATAGGAGTTTAATGACTAACTGGGAATTGAAGACATGTTTTTGGAAGTCCATCTGTCAATAGGTACAGGTGGAATATAATATAATGTCCCGGTATTGAATGACTTGCACACATCACATTGATACTGAAGGGGGTAAAATATTGATGATTTTTCCTGTCCTGAGCTGTCCTTTTTTTCTGTTCTATGTTGCTGGTCTCTGTGAGGTCTATATATACAATTTGAGGGCAATATTCCAGCTATCACAAGATATAAGGCGTGATATCAGACTCTAAATAATTAAGGGTAATTTTTTGTTGTTTCTTATTAAAAGCACTAAACAAAACTTCTCCAATCACCTCTTTATACGCAAAATCCCCCATTAAGACAAATAATTATTTGCAGTCCAAAAACTTAGTTTACCCTCCATGTGTCCCCCACTATACCTCTGTATAGAATGGTGGAGAATGATTTTATTCTGAATAGTGACGATATTTGTTCTATTTATAAATAAGAAAAGTTTTTGTCACCCAGGGCCTGCATGCTTGAAGCATTTCAATTTATTGTAAGCGATATGAGAAGTACTTTATTATTTAAAGATGTGCACTATGGCAATTGCATTTATTTGAAAAATCAGTAATTTCTGCAACTATATAAATTAAGTACTCTATGAGACAAGAGTCTGCCTTTATATCAATGTCCAAATGGGTAGTAATTATTTAAACAATATTTTGTATAGTATTTAAAAAATGCTCCAAACCTTCGCCCTAAGGACAAAAATGAAATATTAAGTGTGGGCAATGGGAGATGAAGATCTAGTAATTTTGTACTTGATTTTAGATTCTTGTTTGCAGAGCAAACATTCTATGCATTAAACCCGGGCACTACATAGACTAGTTTCTGGTAGACTTTGTGCGTGCTGTGATTTCACTGTTTTTTGGCTGTCTTCACCCACCACCGCACATAAAACACCCCTAAAACACCCCAAAAATGAAAAAAAAAAATAATAATCCACATCATTATTGTCCAGTAATTGTGTGATGCAGAGAAAAAGTATTGTAAATATTTTATTTCATGCACAAAAAAAAGATCAAGGTGTGAGATTACAAGTATTTATATGAAAATATCATTTTTATGTATATGTTTCGCTTTATTTAATCTGTTTTTGTCATTAAACGTTTTATTTATGTTCCTCTGCACCAGCTGCAATAGGAAGATGTGCAACAGTGACAAGCTATTTGTAAATAAATGTAAAGATTTAACACACCAGGTTTCCAGTTATTGAGTGTATTCCCTTTAAAACTTCAAACAAGAATTACAAAAAGAAGGGAAAAAAAATAGAAATTAAAAAAAATATATATTTATGTATTATTATTATTATTATTATTATTTGATTTTGTTATAATCATTTTAAATCTATGGTATTATGTGTGTACTGATTCCATTCAGAGTAGTTCATGACATATGACAGTCAAGTAGATTTAAATACCTAATCTATAATCACATGTAGCTTAGAAAGAATTCGTATTATGGGAACAGTTCATTTGCTTCGTGTTCTGGAAATAGATTTGCACTTTGAAATGCCATGTTAAAAACAAAATGATGTTACTAATATTTCTTTTTGCACTGAAAATGATTTAAACAGAATCAAAATCTGACTTAACATGTTTCTCGTTAGCAGTTCATTAAGTGCTGTAGGATGCCACCTACTGCTATCACTGATCAAAGGAAGACTTCTCATTTTTTATTGGGCACTTGTATTAGAGAGGATACCAAAAAGAAAGTTCAAATAATATACTGTACAGCTAGCATTAAACCAAACCTCAGCTGCTATCTGTATGTATATATATATATCATTGAGAGAAAGTAAAAATAAATAAAATAAATAAAATATTGATTATTGAGTGAAAGTAAAAAAAACAAGACATACTATGCAATTTTGTGCACAGCATGTTTTCTGGTGTAGAATGAGTTAACTGTCTTTGATGCTATCTTTTCTTACTCAGTTCTGACACTACATGATTTTTGTAAAATAAAACCTCTGACGTTTTAATTTTCTGAAACTGATAAAATATAGATAAAAACGAGACTATTTAAGCTAATCAATTTTGGCCTGATATGGCAATTACCTGGTTAATTTCCGACTATTTTCAGTTTAGTAAATAACGCCGAATGGAGTTTATTTACTAAATAGTGAATGACGGTTGGCGAATTATTAACGTAGGACAAAATAGCCTCCTTGGAATATTAGTTCAACGCAGAGTTTGTAATATTATAATTCGGGTTTCAATTCACAACGATTCGGTATTTTAATAAAAAATTCGCCAAATAGTGATTTAAATCGAATTGAAAACCGACTATTAGAAAAAAAAAACAACTATATTCAACTCAACTTCATAGCAAACTTAAATTTTTTTCTGAATCTCCTAAAGGTTGAGTTCTGAGATTTCAGGTCACAACAACTCAGCGTTTAGTGAATAAACCCCTAAGAGTTAACTTTCCCACAAATAAGAAAAAAATATATAGAACATTTATATTAATAAACCACTAAGAGTTAACTATCCAACAAAGAAGAAAAAAAATATAGAACATTTGTATTAAAAAAAAAGTAGCCTAACAAACGTTGTCTACATATATAGAAATATTCAACAACAAATAATGGGAAAGGGTGTGTTTTAATATTGTTCTGCT